GTCAAATTGTAATTAATATCACAAAAAATATTTATGAAGAATTGAATGGAAAACCAGTTTGCATATAAACTTTCACTTAAACCACAGAAGAAAACTGAGTGGAGCACTCTGTTTTGACGCATGAGGTTGCTATAAGTTAGAATTGACTCAATCATAGCTCATGGATAATATGAATCACATTGTTTTTTGAGTTATTTGCCAACAAATCTTAATGTAGCACACAGACGTAATAGTTTTCAGTATAAACTTGTGAGTTGTAGGTACTTAATGGTTTAATTTTAACAGTAATCTTGTGTTATGTAGGTACCTTGTGTATGTTTGTGTGTAGAGGGTGTTGTTATGTGCCATAAAGTTGGCACCAACTCATAGCTGACCTTCCAGTGGGTATTTAGATTCTGTAAATCTCAGGGGAGGAGATCACCCATCACTCTTCTGCAGAGTAGCTGATGGATTTGAATCAAGTGCCTTTGAGTTGACAGTGCAACTCCTTACTCACTTAGGCCACTCCTATTTTACAGATAAGGTACCGTGTTAGTTTTGCCTATGAGGAAGCAAATACCAAGTTGGGATTAGATGTGCAAGAGATACCATGAGAGGTGTAGGAGAGGTAGGAAGCATCTTTAGACCATAATACAGCTGTGATACCTAGAAGGAGATGGGATAAGGCAGAGAACAGGGGAGGAGGGGCAGACATACTCAAAGGAGAGAAGAAGGAGGGAGGACAGGGATGGAAGCACCTTGACTGTAGTACAGGTGAAAGAACAGTCAGGCTGGGAAGCCCAAGAAAAGTCCAGGCACCAGAATCATACACTGGATTCTTCCAGCTTTATCGTCCTCTTGCACAGAAAGCATGACACCAATTATGGTAGATATAGACGGGCCATAGCTTTGAATATCATCCAGTGATGCCCAGAGGCCAGGACTTGCCACAGCCAGAGCAACTCACTGATGGTCATACTGCTGCAGCATGACTCACAGAGCTGAGGTGTACCTTGGGAACCTGGAGCACTACTTTTCCCCACTGCTCTCAGTCAGTGTCCCAGTTGCACAGCTGCCTGAGGCTCTCACCGTTGCTGCTGCTTTCTTACCCCCACCCCCTTAAAAGTGTTCCTACTGAATTGATTCCAGCTCATAGCAGCGCCAGGTATATCAGAGCATAATAGTGCTTAATAGTGTTTTCAAGGCTGTGACGTTTTAGAAATTGATCACTAGGTCTTTATTTCGAGGCCTGTCTATATGAACTTGAACCTCCAGCTTTTTAGTTAACAGCCAAATACTAGCACCGACCAGGAATTCTAGCTCTACAGTGCTGCTGTTGTTAAATGCCATTGAGTCAAGTAAAACTCATAGCGACCCTATCAAGAGGAGATCAGGACCCTGTCCCATCCTGTGCCATCTTCACAACCTCTGCTGTACTTGAGCCCATTGCCACAGTCACTGTGTCAATCCATCTGGCTGCAGGGATTTAAAATAGGGAAACTAATTAAATGAAAGTGTTTATTTGAACATTTGAAAATCATACTGTTGTCTGTTTGAAAGAAGGTATAATTCCCTTTGATAAAAATCATCCTTAAAATGAATGATATTTTTGAAGTATTTTTCTTTCCTTAATTCCCCCTAAGCCTTTATTGAAACTATTTTTATGTTAAAACTATATATAGCATGCCTTACAATCATGAATTCATCTGGGTGACTATACAAAGTTATTGTTTTATTTCTTTCTCATAGACACACACTTAAGAACTGTCTTTTGGTTCCAGAATCCTGTCACTGTAACTTTGATGCTTTTACGAACCATGGTACTTTGATCACTGATTCCTTTACTTTTAACTAGTCTTTTAGAATTACACACAATTTCCTCATTTATTCAAGTTTATTTTTCTGGCTCTCCAAACATCCCTTCTCTAAAAGTACAGGGACCTGGGTCATATCCAGTCTCCTTCTTCTTTAAAACTCTTTATACTGCCTTCCTGGTATGTTTGTTAAACATCGCACAGTTTCCTTTGTTTCCCATAATTGAGGAGCATTCTATTCAGTAACCAAATGTTCAAAAGATAATCCACAGGAAGATATTCGAATGGCAAACAGACACATAAAGAAATGCTCAAAATCACTAACAATAAGAGAGATGCAAATCAAAACCACAATGAGGTACCATCTCACTCCAGATGCAGGCACAGTTTAACAGGGCAGCAAGTAATAAATACTGGAGAGGATGTGGCAAGAAAGGAATTCTTAGATATTGTTGGTAGGATTGTAAAATGGTACAACCATTCATTCTGGAAGGCAGTTTAGCACTTCCTCAAAAAGCTGAACAAATTCCCTATGACCCAGCTATTCAACTACTTGGTATGTTGTTGTTATGTGCTGTCGAGTCGCTTGCGACTCATAGTGACCCTATGTATAACAGCCCTAAACTCTGCTCTGTCCTGTGCCAGTTGCCCCAGTCACTGAATCCATCCACCTCATAGAGAGCCTTCCCCTCCTGCGCTGTCTCTCCACCCTACCAAACATGATGTCCTTCTCCAAGGACCGGTCTCTCCTTACAACATATCCAAAATATGTTAGATGGAGCCTCAGAATCCTTACCTCCGAGGAGCCACCTTGGTATATACCCTGAGAAAATGAGAACTGATGCACAAATGGAGATTTGTACACACATATTCATAGCAGCATTATTCACCATCGCAAGAACATGGAAACAGCCCAAATGTCCAACCACAAACAAGTGGATTGAGAAATTATGGTACAGTCACACAAAGGAATCCTATGCAGTACATAGGAGCAATGATTTTGTAAATTATTACCTATATTTGGAGAGACAGAAGAGCATTATGCTGAGTGAACTAACTCAGTCCCACAAGGACAAATATTGTATAAAACCATAAATGTAGAATGAGTATAAGGATCCAAGTGGGAGAAGAGGGTGGAAGCAGAGGGAAGAGGATGTGCAGGGGGAGGGAGGATTGATTAATTATGATGCTGTACAATTTGATGAGTCAGGGGGTGAGGGAAATTGGGAGAATCTGTTCTTGAGATCAATGTATTTGAAGTTTGTAAATGGACTAATAAAAAAAATATTTTTAAAAGATATCTACAGAGAGCTCTACTCAGAGGACATACAAATCGTCAACAGACTCCAGGAAAAAAGTTTCATCCCTATCTGTAAAGGAAAATATAAGCAGTTCCAAATTACCACCTGGTGGCAAACACACTTCCACGAGTCAGTATGAAACAGAAGAGAACTACCCCATGGGGTGTCCAAGGCTCTAATCTTTACAGAAACAGTTTGCCACATCTTTCTCCCTCAAAGTGGCTCATAGGTTCAAACCACCAGTCTCTCTGTTGGCACCTGAGTGCTTTAACCATGGTGCCACCAGTGTTCCTTACTGCCGAGCAGCACTAACTAACTAAAATTTATTTTTAAATAAATAAAATTTATATAAATCAGTGGCATCAGGGCTCTGAGCAAATATTAAAACAGTAATGACACTGAAGATGGGTATGATCAGATTTGTTAGCCTATACACAGCAGGTCTGTCCTGGAGAAAGTGAAACAAGTGTACTCCTGGAACCCAAGGATGGTGAAACTTGGTCTCACATACTTTGGGCATGTTGTTAAGAGGGAGCCGCTCTTTGAAGAGGAACATGCTTGGAAAGGGACTTTGTAAGAGATAAAGGCCCTCAACAAGATGGATTGGCACAGTGACTGTTAACAGTGGGCTCAAGTATGTCAGAGATGGTGAGGATGACATGAGATAGAGCAGGGTTCAGATGTTCACACAGCTGCTGTGAGTTGTGCTTGACTAGAGGGCACATGACAAAAACAACATTCATGATGAGAGTCATGAAAGGACCTTTTAACATAAAAATGTAATTTTGTAATCCCAGAGGTATGGGGTTTGAATCCACCAGTTGCTTTGCCTGAAAAGGAGGGACAGTCTCCTCCTGTACCAGTCAGATCTGATTTAATGGTGTACACACACACACACACACACACACACACACACAAAATTTAAAAACCTTAAAAAATTAATTTTGGAGGGTGGGAGCAGAATGGTGAGGCTAGACAAAGGGTGTTAATCATAGGGTTGCACAATTTGATGGGTGGGGGTATGTGAAGGAAATGGGAAAGATCTTGTGTGAAAAACAATGTATTTGAACTTTGTAAATAAATCAGTATAAAATTAAAAAATGTAACTTTAGCAGTTTGAGGAATGAATTTTAAAGATGAGAGCAAAAAAAGATAAATATATAACATAGCTAAAATCTGAAAATAATTTCCATTTCCAGTTGCTGAAAAAGTATATTACCACCAAATTAATAATATGTTGAAGAATGATTAACGTTGGTGTTTGAAATAATAAATGTGGGCAATTACAGAAGTATGGAAGGTCTCTATTGGTACATTATTTGTTGGGCAGCTAACAAAAAAGTTGGAATCCATGTGTTGCTATGTGGATGGGGAAAAAATGTTTTCTCATAAAAGTTTGCAACCTCAGATACCAGTTGGAAGGTTTTCCATGAATTGGGAAAAACTCCATGGCAATGGGTTTAGGTTAGTTCCAGTAACATAATGGTTAAGCACAAAGCTGCTAACTGAAAGGTCATCCAAACTCTGAAGGAGAAGAGACCTGGTGATCTTGATGGTATGAAGAATGCAGTCTAGAGCACCCTGTGGGGCTGTTCTATTCTGCAAGGTCGATAAGAGTTGAAGGCACTCAAGAGACACAGTAACAATAGTAGAAATATGGAAATGTTTATATGAAAAATAGTGAATCAGAAGCTTGTCTGTTTGATACGAGGTTACTTGTATAATATACAACTCCTTGGGAACATGAGAATGGGAATCCCTAAAAGTAAAGTAGAGGACTTCTGTTGTAATCAGGAGTATGAGTTTGTTCCTGTTTGCTAGCAGTGTAACATTGTTTCCTGAACAAGAGTGTCTTCTCCTTCCCTTTGGGAGGGAGGGGGTGATTGACTTGTGCCTCTGTCTCTAGCAGCTTCACAGTACCAGCTGGCTCTGGAGAAATCCTTTTTCTGCAGGATCCGGTATGTATCTGGATTTGTGGTAGCCTGAAATGGTGGATTAAGCTCTAATTTTACTTGGGAATTTTATGTTTTATTATGTTTGAAACTAAATTCAGTAGCTGATAACAGGAAATATGACTGAGATCTTACCACGAAGTTTGTGTTTTGGTTGAAGATATGTACAACCAAAACCCAAAATTCAATGTCATTAGCTCCCTCCCCCTCAAAGGACAACCAAAGGATGAGAAGTGTGCCACAGGAAACAGGGACCAAATCTGCACCAGCAGAGAAGACTGCCACTGGGAAGTTCAAATGGAGGAAACATTTTAAGTGTGCAGCTTAACAAAAGCATCATAAACATAAGGAACTGTCAACAACCTACTCAGACACAACAGAAACTGCCCCACACATCCTGGGAAGAAATTGACAGAATGTCAAGGAATCAGCAGACAGTTTCAAACATAATTAAAAAGCACAACAAGCCTGCCTCCTACTAAAAAAGCAAATCAAATTGCACACCCAATGAATACCCCAGAGACAGAGAGGCAGAAGAAATATAATGATGGGGAATTAAATGAACAGCTGCTGAAGAAGTTATAAATCATGTAAGAAAGGATTGGAACTAAAAAGAAATTGAGTACCCCAGCAGTAGGGAGCCAGAAGAAATATATCAAAGTGGAGTTCTAGGAACAGCTGTTGAAAAAGTTACAAATTATGTAAGAATTAATAAATAAAAAGGTACAAAAATTTAGAAAATCATCATAAGGCAGAGAAGGTACAACCAACAAAGAAATGTAAGTAACAGAAATGTGTGAAAATGTGATCCAGAATATCAAGACTGAAAGGGCAGAAAGGCACTGACTTTGGAGGGTGGAAGAGTGTAGAAAAGATCCCAAAGCTGCTCTCTGAATATATGTCTAAAAAGATGAAATTTGTGGCTTTATTCCAATCAGTTGGCCAAATGGTTATCCTATAGATTTCTTAGCATGGCATTTCTTGACCTGAAGGAACTGAAGAACAAAATCAAGTCTTGAGTTGCAATACTTAAGGATGGTTTCTGTAGAATATTAAATGATCCAGGAACCATGAAAAGAAAATGGAAGGAGTATTCAGAGTCACTGTACCAAAAGGAGTTGGCTGACACAGAATTTCATGAAACAACATATCAGCAAGACTGTGGTGATGAAGGAAAAAGCTCGAGCTGCTCTGAAAGAATTGGCAAACAACAAGGCTCCAGGAATTGATGGCATATCAATTGACATATTTCAACAAACAGACACTGCCCTGGATACACTCACTCAGTATGCCAATAAATCTGGAGGACAATCACCTGGTCAACTGACTGGATGAGATCCAATGATAACTTACTAGAAAGGGGGGAAAAAGAGGAGAAGAAAGGAAAATGAGGGGAACATTAGAATCACATAGGGTAACATCAAATGTAATAACATACATGATGGGAGTTCCAGAACAGGAGGAAAGGAGGAAAAGCACTGAAAAAATTGTGGACGAGGTACTAGGAGATGAAAACTTGCCAGGTATCACGAAACATGAGGAAATTCACATTCAAGAAGCTCAGCAAATTCCAAACTGACTAAACTTCCAAAGAAAAACATGAAGACATATTTTAGTAAAATTCTCCAAAATCAGAGATAAGGATAGACTATTAAAAGCGGTGTAAGAGAAACAATAGAGTCACCTATAAAAGAAGAACCAATTAGGTTTAGCTCCCAATTCTCAACAGAAACCATGCAAGCAGAAAGGATTTGCAGAAAAGCAGGAACTTAAGGAATTAATAAAAATAAGACCAACTAAAGAAATAGTGAGGGAAGTCCTTCACACTGAGATAGGGAAGGAAAATGGATGGACAAAGTAACCAGAAATAACTTAAAAGAAACATAATATAGTGGCCTGTCAAAGACTGAATACTGTGTAGCACGCAGGAGCAACCACTTTGAAAAAAAGACTTGAAACATTTTGAAAAATGCTATGTAACACAGGAGAGGATGGAGAGCATTATGATGAGTGAACTAACTAAGGCCCATAAGAACAAATACTATATAACACTGTCAGTGTAAAAACAAAAGGATAACCGGTAAGATGTGCGTGGATATCCAAAGAAGAAAAGAAGGAGGTGGGGGTGGAGAGGAGGGAATCATGGGGTTGCAGAGTTTAGTTAATGAAGGAAGGGATGAATAAAACCCCAAACAATGTGCAGGAATGAAACACAAGTTAAATATATTATTGTATGTAAGTTTAAAAATGTAAAAAAAACCCAAAGGTTGGAAAAGGTAGGCGTGGCAGTACTAATCTCTGACAAAATAGACTTCAGTATGAAAATCACCATAAAAGATAAGGGCACTGTAAGCTTTGCACAGTGATGGTATCATAGTCATTGAGGTCAATCTGAGGCATGAGTATCGCTAATTGAAAAGATATTACTACTATAAAGATTAAAGGCACAATAGATCAAGAAGACATAACCTTGATCAACATTTGTCCACCAAATGATGTTGTTGTTGTTGTTGTTGTTATGTACCATTGAGTCGTTTACAACTCATAGTGACCCTATGTACAACAGCCCTAAACCCTGCTCCATCCTGCGCCAATCTCATTGCCTCTGACACACCCATCCCGATTACCCCAGGCACTGAATCAATCCACCTCATAGAGGGTCTTCCCCTCCTGTGCTGTCCCTCCACTCTACCCAGCGTGATGTCCCTCTCTAAAGACCTGTCTCTCCTTACAACATGTCCAAAGTATGTCAGGCGAAGCCCCAGAATCCTTGCCTCCAAGGAGCAGCCTGGTTTAACCCTCTCTAGGCTGAATCTATTTGTTTCCTTGGCAGTCCATGGTACATTCAATACTCTTCTCCAGCACCACAGCTCAAAGGCGTCAATTCTTCTATCCTCCCTAGTCATCTAGTCATTGTCCAACTCTCTGATGCATAACAAGTGATTGCAAAAACCATCGCCTGTATCAGGCGCACCTTAGTCTCCAGAGAGACACCGTTGCTCTTGAGTACTTTAGAGAGGTCCATCTGAATATGTTTTTTTATTTCCTGGCTACTGGTGCCAAGAGTGTTGACCGTGGAGCCGAGCAAACTGAAGCTGTGAACAATCTCAATCTCTTCACCATCCATCCTGATGCTACCGATTAGTCCAGTGATGAGAATTTTTGTCTTCTTAACATTGAGCCTCAGTCCATATTGAAGGCTGCAGTCCTTGACTCTCTGCAGTAAGTGCATGAGGTCTTCCTCAGTTTCAGTGAGCAGGGTTGTGTCATCTGCATAACTCAGATTGTTGATAGATCGTCCACCAATCCTAACGCCACACTTCTCCTCATAGAGCCCAGCCTCTTGGATAATCTGCTCTGCATACAGGTTGAAAAGGTATGGAGACAGGACACATCCCTGGCATACACCCTTCCCAATTTTTAACCAGGCAGTGTTGCCCTGCTCTGTTCTGATGACTGCCTCTTGGTCCAAGTATAGGTTTCGCATTAGCACGATTAAATGTTCTGGGATTCCCATTCTTCTCAGAGTCAGATGATCATATGATCATTATTCTGGAGACGAAAAGGTGAGGAAAAATGGGGTTGCTTTCACAGTCAAAAAAGACATTTCTAGGTCCATCTTGAAGTACAACATTGTGAGTGATAGGATTATATCCATACGCTTACAAGGAAGTCCAGTGAACACTACTATCATCCAGATATATGCACCAGCAACCAGAGCCAAAGAAGAAGAAATAGATGATTTCTACCAACTCTTACAGGCAGCGATAGATTGAACATGCAATCAAGATGCATTGATAATAATGGGCCACCAAATGATAGACCTGCAAAATATATAATAACAGTAGTTAACAGTTGAAGAAAGAAATAGCACCACAGTAGGAGGATATTTTAACACATCACTTTCAACAAAAGGCAAGTCAACTCGGAAAAAACTCAACAAAGATGCAGAAGAACTAAGCTATACAGTTAGCCACCTTGACCTTGTAGACATATTCAGGGTACTTCACCCAAGTAAAACTCAATTTGTTTTCTTCTGGAGTGCAACTGATCATATATTAGGACACAACGCAAGCTTCAACAAATTTAAAAAACATTGGAATAATGCGACATATCTTCTCTAACCACAATGCCATATAGCTAGAAATTAACAATAAGATGATAAAAGATAAAAAATCACCCACGTGGAAGTTAAATAATACCTTGCCTGAGCACTCTTGGATTGTAAAATAAAAAGTGAAATTAAAAAGTTTCTCAAAACAAATGAAAAGACAACCTTTCAAAATCTCTGGGATAATCCATCTACCTGTGGTCAATAGGTATTTGATAAAGAATCAAAACCTATTAAATGGGAAAATTACACCTCTTGAACAAACAGTGCTGGGAAAGTGGAGCAACTTGCATAAAACTGGAACAGGATCAGCATCTCACATCATATGCATAATCAACTTGATATAGATCAGAGACCTAAGGTGTAAAGCCAAAACTCATAAGAATACTAAGAGACAAAAGTTTAGAAGCCCTAGCCTGAAGCATAAATAGTCTTGCACAGATATCCAGAAATGCATAACTGGGAGAGAATAAATTCAACAAATGAGACCTTCTAAAAATTAAGTCCCTCAGCAAGCAAGAAATGTTGAAGAGGATGTGGAGAGATTAGAATTCTCATAGACTCTTGGTGGGACTGTAAAATAGTACAACCACTCTGAAAGTTAATTTGATGTTTTCTCAAAAAGCCAAGCATAGACATTCCATATGACCTAGCTATTTCATTGCTAAGAATATGCCCTGAGGAAAATAGAACCAAGACACAAATGGAGATGTATACACTGATGTTCATTACAGCATTGTATACAATAGCAAAAAAATGGAAACAGCCAAAATGTCCATCAACAAATGAATGGATTAAGAATTTTGGTACATTCACCTGATAGGAAACTATGCAGCACGCAGAAGCTGAGTTATATTTTGAAAAATATAACATAGGAGAATATGAAGAGCATTAAGCTGAGTGTTCCATCTCATAAGGACAAATATTGCATAAGACTTATTGTAAAAATAGAAGGATTGCTAATAAGAGGTGTACCAAAGTCCAAAAGGGGCAGGGGAGGGTGGAGGATGGCTGAGGGTAAAGAGGAGGGAACTCTCGAGATTGCAGACCTTGGTATGCAGAGTGAGGAGGTGAAGGAGTTAGGAAAGATCCAGTGGGGACCTGAAAAAGAGGGGTAATGTTGAGCATGGATCAATGGTGATTGATTTTATAAAACACAATGTATGTGAATAATAATGTGAAACACAGTGTGAATGGAGGAATGCACGAATCACAATATATATATATAAGTGAATATATATAGTGTATATGACTTTTGTAGGCCAACAAATATAAAACAAAATGTAAAAAAATTAAGTCCCTAGGTGCATTAAAACTTTTTCTTAAAAGGGTGAAAAGAAGACCTAGAGATAGGGAAACACATTTGGCAATGACTTCTCAGACAAAGGTCTCATAAGGAAATGTTACAGACTACTACAGGGTATCCAGAAGAAGAGACTGATAACCCAAAACCAAAATGGACAAAAGAAATGAAAGGACTTTTCACAAAGGAAGACATTCAGATGCTCAGCCAACACATGGAAAAAAAATGCACTGAAATGAAAAAAAAAAAATCTCTGGCAATCAGATGCAAATCAAAACAATGAGAGACTATCTCACCACAGTTACAACAGCAAAGTTTAACAGGACAGCAAGCAAAAAATGTTGAAAAAGATGCAGAGAGATTAGAACTCTCAGGCATTGCTGGTGAGATTGTAAAATGGTATAGCCACTCTGGAGGGAAGATTTGCATTTCCTCAAAAAGCTGAACATGGAGATCTTATATAACCCAGCTATTCCACTGCTAGGAATATACACCAAGGATATTAAAACTGAGACACAAACGGATATATGTACTGCTATGTTCATAGCAGCATTATTCACTATAGCAAGAAAACGAAAACAGCCCAGATGGTCATCAACAAACAAATGCATTGAGATTTGTGGTACATTCACACAATGGAATATTATGTAGCACTAAGGAATAATGATTTAATAAAATGCTGTCTAACATAGGAGAGTCTAGAGAGCATTGTGCTGAGTGAACCAACTATCTCATAAAGACAAATACTGCATAAGAACATTATTGTCAAAATAGAAGGATAACTAGTAAGATATACGTAAATGTTCAAAAGGGGAAAATACAGGAAAAAAGGGAAATACAGACATCATTAGGGTAGCAGAATTTAGTGGGCAGATGGAATGGCCCTCAAGGAAAAAAGTAAAAAGCAATAATAAGGGTTCAATTGGGACTTGAGGAAATGGGATAAAAATAGGCATCGATCATAGTAATTATATAAAATATAATGATGTGAATGACTGTAAAACAATATCAATGAAAGGCTGTATAAATCATGGTGTATATGAATGAAACAATATAAATGAATTATTGAGTGCAAACCAGTAAAAAATTTTTTTTTAAGGCTCATTATTTTAGGTTTATTATTTTGTTTTTCTGTCACAGTTGAAATTAAATTTTAAAATTTTAATGTTTGTGAGAAAGACTGAAATTGTTGACACATCATGAACTATAAGAAAATGAAGCTGACTTTTCATAGTCCTTGCTTTATTTTTATTTTTATTTTATTTTATTATTTTTGTGTGCATGTACTGTCAAATCAGATCTGACTGGTACAGGAGGAGATTGCCCCTCCTTCCCCGGCAGAGCTCTCCTTCCCCGGCAGAGCCATAGTCCTTGCTTTAGAGTAGGGTTGCTGGTGATGCTTTTATCTTCTCAATTATCTGCAATTGTCTTACTTTCAAAAGAAAAAGAAAATGTATTTTCAAATGACAATATGATTGTAATTAGTATTAAATCACTAACTAGGTATGCAGAGAAGAGCAAATTCTTGTCGTGGATTAGTCAGACACCATGGAATTTGTCAAAAGTCCCTTGGCAGGTGGAGCAATAAACAGGGTGGGGAACTTTATAGACAGCAGTCATGGAGCACACCTTCCTAGGGATCCTTTGAGAATGAGAAGGTAGTAGTCCCTCTGCACTAGGACCACCTGGTGGACTGCAGTGTAGTTTCCGCCTTTTTCCTGGTGGTCTGAAGTATACCCCTCATTCCTTTCTCATCTGATACTCTGAGTCACGTGCAGAGTCTGCCCCAGTCAAGGTGGTAAGTAAGGCTGAGACTTAGTTCCTGGAAAGAGGCACTACAGAGAGGGATGGTTGAGATGTGGCTGAGTAGGTGACAGGAAGTAAGAGGGAATAAGACTTGATTTAGAAGTAGGGAATTATGGAAGTGGAAGAACATCTGTGATGGTTTAGGGCCCAGAGGTCAGGAGAAAAGGCACAGCAAGATGAGTTCTGTCTTCACATTGTTAGTCATCTAAATACAGCCTCTCCTGCATCTTCTAGCCTTGGATATAGGGAGCACTTTAGAAGTTCTCCTTGTGAAAACAGAGCATTTGTACATTTATACATTTTAGATTCCAGTATGTCTATCTTAGAAATTACCAGTAGGGCATTTCTGAGCCTGGAGGCTAGGGAAATGCCTGGAGACTAGCCAGTTGTTTTTCATTTCTTCAGTGGCGGTGAAGACGGAGAGCAACAGAACAACTACTGCCCATCCCGGATCATCCCCTACATGATTCATGTGCACAGGCCCTCCCAGCCGGGAGCTGAGCCTTGCTGCCTCATGTTGGTTGAGAAGATTCATTCTGGTTATGAAGGTGAGTCAGAAGCCTCTGCTTTCTCATCAGGATGAGTAATGTCAGCATAGCTTAAAAGAGAGCTTGAGCCTTCATGTATATGTTGTGTTCTGAACACATGAAGCATTCTTTTCCCTCTTACTTTTTAAAACTTTTTATTGTGATTTGAGTTCAAGTTTGAGGGCAAATTAGTTTTTCATTCAATAAGCCATACATATTACTCTTTGTGACATTGATTACAGCCCCCATATTGTAACAGCACTTTTCCCACTTTATTAGTGTTTCCTGTTTCCATTTGTCCTTCTTCTGTCTCTTTCCTTCTGAGCATTATCCCTGGGCACTTGCTGCCCTTTTGATCCTGTATTGCTGACTGTTCTTAGTGTGTCCCTTGCTGGTGTTTCTGATCTTCTTACAAGCCTGTGTACAGACTGAAAGTTGACTCAAGGAATGATTTCAGCTCCAAATGTGGAGGGCTCAACTGGCCGTACTTCTAGGGTTCCACCAGTCTCTTGATGACCTAGTGGTAAGAACCTGAGCTGCAATCCTGAATGCACATGGTTCAAATCCACCCACTACTCTGCAGGAGAAGGATAAGCAGTCTCCTCCCATGTGATTAACTGCTTCTGAAAATCTGCTGGAGGGTCAGCTATGGGTCAGTTCTGACTTAATGGTACTCAACAATAAGGCATTTTTATCTTTACTGTTACTTCTTTATAAAATTGTTTATTGAGCTTTGGATGAACACTTACTGAGCAGATTAGTCCTGCATTCAATAATTTGCTTAAAGTGCCCCTGACATTGGTTGCATTTCTTCCAATGTGTTTGTACCCTCCTAAATTTTGACCCTGAGTTTCCCTGATTCCTTTTCACCTGAGGTTTTGTTTTGTTACTAAACGGAATTTTTTTTTTTTTTAAATTTTTGTGTGCGTGTACCGTCAAATCAGATCTGACTGGTACAGGAGGAGATTGTCCCTCCTTCCCCAGCAGAGCATCTGGTGGATTCAAACCGTGCGCCTCTGGGATTGTAGTTGCAGCTCCTTGCCACTAGGCCACCAGAGCTCCCTCTAAACGGAATTTTTTAACTCACCTCTGTATCCCTTCTCATCTCTGGTAGCATTCGAAGAATGCTTCTTTCTGTGTAAACTTGTTGTATACAGTCAAGTTGGCCAACCCAGAACTGACCCTCCAGTGTGTTCTCAGAGACAAATTGCACGGGAGGAGATTTTTTTACCTTTCTCCCATGGAGCAGCTGGTGTTTTTAAACTGCATGTGTTTGGGATTGCAGTTCAATTTCTTACCAATAGACCACCAGAACTCAAACTTTTCTTTACTGTTTTATAATACTGGATTCATTTAGTATCTGTCCTTTTGTGACTGTCTTATTTCACTCAGCATAATGTCCTCTTAGATTCACCCAGGTTTTGTGATTTTTCAACAAATTCTTCATTATCATCCAAGTTTCTTACCCTCTGCTGTCCTTCTCTTAGGTGTATATATTTTATTTTAAGGAATACATGCCTCTCGAATATAACTGTTTTATGGGCTTGTTTGTTGTTTGACTGAAAGATAGTCTTTAGAAATGGGGTCAAAGGGGGGTCCTAGTGCACACCTATGCTTATTGCTGTGTTGTTCACAATAGCAAAGAGACGGAAGCAACCGAGGGGCCCATCAACAAACAAGTGGATAGAGAAGCTCTGGTATATTCACACAGTGGAATACTATGCAGCCCTGAAAAACAAGGAACTCATAAAATATTATATAAAATGGGTGACCCTGGAGGACATTATGTTGAGTGAAATATCTCAGTCACAAAAGGCAAATACTGCATAGTGCCACTGTTATAAAGCAGGACTGACATGGGCGTTGGGAGGAAATTAAGAAAAAAGGGAATAAATAATAAACACTATATATTGAAATAGATGAGGGTAAGAACTATCTAAAAGAAATGTGTGGTTAGGTAGTATTTGCATGACAACAATCCAGAATAAGAAGTGCATAGCAAAGTGGACAGGAGGGTGGAGAGGATAGAGGAAAATGTACAACAATGAAAGAGGCTTTTTAAAGAGAAGAACTAACTGATGGAGGTGTGTAGGGAGGAAACTCTGCAACAATGAAAGAATAGAAATTCAAATTTTCTGTAAACTTTCATTAAAATATCAATTAAAATATTATTTTTAAAAAGGAGGGGAATTTCCACAGTCTCTGTCCTATTAGTAAGTCTAGTAGTTTTAGGTGGGATTCTCTAAAGAAGCAAAACCAGGGCTTAGAAGAGGCTGTAGCAATAGGGACATTATAGCCAATGTTAGGTGGATTTTGACTGAAAACAGAATACCAGAGGAATGTCTGTTTGTGTTTGTTTCATTGACTATGCAAAGGCATTTATTGTTTGGGTCACAACAAATTATGACTAAACTTGAGAAGAATGGGAATTCAAGAACACTTGATTGTGCTTGTGAGAAGCCTATACATGGACCAGAAAGCAGTACACAAACTTGGACCAGGAAGCAGTCATCAGAACAGAGCAAGGAGATCCTGCATGTTTCTATCTATATGCGGAGCAGATCATTTGGTAGGATGGACTTTAAGAGGAGGAATGTGTCATCAGGATTAGAGGGAGACTCATCAACAACTTGTGTTATGCAGATGAAGCAACCTTGCTTGCTGAAACTGAGGAGGACTGAGGCATTTGCTGCAAAAAGTCAGGGACTGCATTCTTCAGTGTGGATTGAAGCTCAACATCAAGAAGACAAAAATTCTCACCACTGTACCAATTGACAAGCGTCAGGATAGATGGAGAAGAGATTGAGATTGTTAACAGTTTCAGTCTGCTTGGTTCCACAATCAACAGTCATGGTACCAGCAGTCAAGAAATAAAAAGATGAATTTCACTGGGAAAATCTACTGTCAGAAACCTCTACTGAGTGCTGAAGAGCAACAATGTCAGTCTAGAGACTAAGGTGACCCTGATCTAGGCCATGGTCTTTGCAGTTTGTTATCCATCAGAATGTTGGATAATGACTAAGAATGATAGAAGAAGAATCGACGCCTTTGAGTTGTGGTGCTGGAAAAGAGTACTGAACATACCATGGATCACCAGGAGAACAAACAGGTCTGTCTTGGAAAGATTGAAATCAAGATGCTCCTTGGGGGCAAGGATTTTGAAGTTCTGTCGGAAATACTTTGGACATGTTGTCAGGAGGGGTCCTTGGAGAAGGACACCATACTTGAATGGGTGGAGGGATGACACAGAAGAGGAAGACCTGGGTAAGATGGATTGACACAGTTACTAGTGTAATAAGGGTAGAGTGTCAGAGGCAGTGAGATTGGCTCAGGATAGGACTGGGTTCAGAGTCATTGTACATAAGATCGCTGTGAGTTGCTAGCGACTCAGTGGCACATAACAGCAACACACAGTCAAGTGCCTTGTACTTAGTCAATAAAACACAAATAGACATTTTTCTGGTATTCTTGGCTTTCAGTGAGTATCCATCTGACATCAGCAATGATATCCATGGCCTTTTCTAAAGGCAGCTTGAATTTCTGGCAGTTCTCTGGCAATGCATTGTTCTAGCCATTTTTGGATGATCTTTAAAATATTTTTATATTAATGATGTTGTTTGATAATTTTCACATTTCTTTGGATCACTATTTTGGGGAATGGGAACAGATATGGATCTCTTCCAGTCAGTTAATCAAGCAGCTGTCCTCCAAATGTCCTGGCATAGACTGGTGTGCACATCTAGAGCTGCCTCTGTTAGTTGAAGCAGTCATTTGATATTCCATCAATTCCTGAGGCCTTATTTTCCTCCAGTGCCTTCAGTACTGCTTGAACTTCTTCCTTCATTACTGTTGGCTCTTGTTCATAAGGTCCTTCCTGATAATTTTTCAATGTGACTACATAGTTCATCTTTTTTGATGCTTCCTAAATCGGTCAAAATTTTGTCCATAGCATCTCTCAGTATTGCAACTCAAGACCTGAATTTGTTTTTTCAGTTTTTTTCAACTTTAGAAATGCTGAGTATTTATTTTTCAAGTCCAGTTCTTTGCACATTCCATTATAACACTTTGCTTTGTGTTCTTAAGCTGCCCTGTGAAATTTTCTGTTAGTGTCTTTTATTTTTTGCATTTCTCCCCCTTGTTTTGGCTTCTTGATGCTCTTGTGCAATTTTCAGTTCCTTCTGACATCCGTTTTGGTCTTTACTTCCTCCTCTATCTTGATGGAGTAGCATCCACTTCCTAAACAACATGCCTCTGGAAACTACGAACTTTGAGAAACGATGATAGGTATAGAAGGGCTTCAGGTCTTTTGTTCATAGGGTCACTATGAGTCATGCTCAACTCAACGGCAATCAACAACAACAACAACAATCTTAATAATGACCTTTTGCTCTCTTCATGAATGTTATCTTTTATTTCATCCCATAATTCATCAGTGTTCATCTTTCAATCAGTATTGTTCAGTGCCTCAAACCTATTCTGGAGTTGTTTTTTAAATTTAAGTGCGATAGACTCAAAGTAATATTTTATTTCTTATGGACTTGTTTTAATTTTCTTTAGCTTCAATTTGAACTTGTACATGAGTAATTGATGGTCTTTTCCATAGTCAGCGCCTGCCTTGGTTTTGACTACTGGTACTGAGCTTCTCCAATGATTCTTTTCCCAGATGTAGTCAGTATAATTCCTGTGTAGTCTATTAAATGAGTTCCATGTGTAAAGTTACCTTTTGTGTTGTTTTTTTTTAAAAATTATTTGCAATGAATAAATCACTGAAATTATAAAATTCTGTCCTTTGGCGTCCAACCTCATTTCTGTCACCAAGACCATGTTTTCTGACTACCATCCTTCTTCTTCCTTTCCAACTTTTGCATACTTCTTGTTGTTGTTAGGTGTCATTCAGTTGAGCATGACTCATAGTGACCCTATGAATAAAAGATCTGAACCCTGTTCTATCCAGTACCATCCTCACACTTGCTGACACACAGAGCCCATTGCAGCAGTCATCATATCAATCCACCTGGTTT